TGAGTATTTACATCTTGTTAGCAGGGTAACAACAATTAAAGAGAGCAGGAGAGCAGAAGAGCTACCAGGTGTCATAGCTGCTGCTATTTGCTGTCAGGGGCACTGTAAATTGCTATGCACTCATTTGTATTCAAATGTCCCCTACAGGAAATGGGTTTGAAAGTTTTTACTAATAGCTCCCTCGCTTGAAATTTCCCTTTACATTGTTAATATTGAATTGTTTTACTGCAGATTGATTTCTCAAGATTCTCTCTTCCAGTTTCTTTAAAACTTGCCTGATTCTTGAAACTCCTAATAAAACCAAATAACGCCTAATCCCTGAATAACACCTAGATGTCTCAGGATGTTTAATGTACTTGTTGGCTTCAAAGAAAAAGAAAAAGAAAAAGAAAAAGAAAAAGAAAAAGAAAAAGAAAAAGAAAAAGAAAAAGAAAAAGAAAAAGAAAAAGAAAAAGAAAAAGAAAANAAAAGAAAAAGAAAAAGAAAAAGAAAAAGAAAAAGAAAAAGAAAAAGAAAAAGAAAAAGAAAAAGAAAAAGAAAAAGAAAAAGAAAAAGAAAAAAGTGAGAATTAAACTGGCCATCTTTAAGCTGGTGGAAAAAAATGGGAGAATGAATGTAAGTGTGAAGGAATACTCGGGCATGTGGAGTTCAAAAGTTGCTCCTAAACTGTGGACCCAGGCTGAGAAAACTTGGGGCACATAAAGTACAAAAGTCACTCCTGTGGACCAAGGTACAGCCAACAATTGCTCCACAGAATTCCACTGCCCAGGTAACATCTTCAGATGAAAGACTGAAAATTTTCATATATAAATTAACAAAAGCTACTGAGAACTGTCAAACATCTGTTATTTTATGAGTAATGGAATATAGGATATAAAAGACATGCCAAGACCAGCCACACACATGTAAGATAAAGCAATTTGTATTTTATTAAAAATAACTTTGTGAGGAGCAGCTTTCAGATACAGAAAACCCTAGAGCCTGAAACTGCCAAACACAAAACAAAATCTAATCTGTGGTCACAAAAATAGATAAATTGGTGAGAAAGACATTTCTGTATTGTAGACCTCTGTGTCTGCATGCATGTCTTGCATACCTTGCTGGTAAACCACTACAAAAAACCCTGTCTGCTCTTGTGTGAAGAAGAGACAACACTTGCTACCATATTCATTATGTTTAGAAATAACCTGAAATACAACCTGCCCAATATAACTAGCTCTCATTTTTAGTCAAGAATTACAGAATGGCAGCTCTCAATCTCATTGTTGAATGACATTGTAGCATAGAAATGTTTATTTCTGCATCACGGAATCTTATTAGCTAGAACCCATTTTGAAAATGTGCACATGGTGCAACACAATTCATGTTTCAGAGGACTCTTCCAAAGCTCTTTTAAAAGAAAACAAATTACTATTAAAATTCATGAGCTCTTAAAACAGCCAGCTCCAGTTCCCCAAAGTCATTCTCCATTCTTCATCTAATCCCAGAATTATTCACCCACTGGAGACTCTCCACAGGTAATTTCTGCAAAGACAGTCCTAAAGGCATAATTATGTTTGTCCTTTATGGCTTTGCCCTCCCAATAAATTGGAAGGGCATAAGAGACCTTATTGGATTGGATTGGAAGGCAGCATAAGAGACAAAATAGGAAACAGATTCATGCTCTGGCCAAACAATAGAAGGCTTGTGCTCCCAGAGAAGAGTATCTAATGCTGGATTCTTTCTGCCAAGTTCTAGCAACATCATAGGAGTGCTGATTTGCTGCAAGGCCTTGAGGATTCCCCGGGTTTACTACATCTACTATGATTTTTGTGCTACTACATTTCCCACTGGTATCACATAGCAAATAAATGGAAACAAGGACACTGAGTGGATAGCTGAGGCACAAAAGACAACCAGGTAAGTACCATGAGGCAGTGGTACTGGAGAAGGAAATAAATTAGGTATGGCCCAGCATGCACTCTGCCCTTTCCCCAGCAAGTCCCTGGGAGTTTTCCTCCCAGCCACTAAGGGATGTGTTCAGACTCACTGGGATGGGATTGGGGATGTGATAGCCCAAGGAGAAGACAGGGAAAGCACGGCAGCTCTGCCTTGCTGTGCTCCTGGCAGCTGCCAGCTCCGCACCTCTGTCCTGCCCTCCCTTCCCAGCTCAAGAAAACGGCCCTCCAGCTGAGCTGAGACTGCCTGAACTCAGTTCAGCAAACCTGGAAGGTTTAGAGGCACAGTTTAAATTGGTCTCCTGAACCGGTGTCCTAAAATCACATCTGGTACTCACCTCAAGCACCAAAGAAAGCATGAAGGAAAAAGGAACAGAGTCACTGTGGAAGGAAAAGGGTCAAAATGACAGAGTATAAGACAAGGGATAGAAGACCTCAGCACAGTAACGCACAGATCTGGAAGTGATCCACTGAGCTATGGGCCTGCAGCCCTTAGGAACCCTTCCCAGAGGCAGAGGCTGGTCACAGAACTGCACACACACCTTGTCCTTTACTCAGGCAGTGGCTTCTGCAGGGCGAGTGGCTCTGCTTTGTGAGCACCACAGGGAGAAAGGACAGAGTGTTTTACTTACAATACCTCTCTCCTCTTGGAGACCAATTAAGTAAGCAAGAGAGGAGCTAATAAAAGAATTTTACTTGAGAAGGAAGCTTTGCTTTGGGGTTTCCCTTTAAATGCAAAAGGCCAATAGAATCTAAACTTCACCATAAATTAAGTTATTGCCGTAACCAAAGGAGCACAGCCAACTAATTGCACGCCCTAAAATTTTATGTCAAATTTTCAGCCTTAATGATGTAAATTACAAGAGGAGGATAACTCTCTGACAAAACATTTGGGTACAAAATTGGTGCTGGTTATATGCATATCTATCTGATTTTTAATACCTGTGCCATTGGGGATTTTGCAGATTATCAGACAGGTCATTCAGGAGCTTCCACAGAAAGTCATCAATTGATACTGAACAACAGTTTAGACTCCATATTTCTAATTCTTATTGTCAATGTCAATAGATCTCTCAGAATTGGAAAGGATTTTTGAAGAAGGATGGATATGCTAGTATCTATGGAGTTTCAGAAGAAACATCTTTAGAAGTATGATTTAGAAGTAAATAGAAGTACAATTAGAAACTGAAAAATAGTATATACAGGCCATAGAAATTAGGTTTTAGATAGCAGACATAGATTTACCTGTATCTATTTACTTGGAAACCATCTAGGAACATTTGCTAATGTTTTATTCCATGTCTTTCAAAACAGATCAGGCAAACACCAGATGAGACATACCAAACCTCTTTTTACTGGCCATTGCTCCTCACATAGGACCATCCAAGAATGAATCATTGTAGCACTACAAGTTTAATCATGTCTGAGCACACAGGATTTTTGCTCACAAGTGTTCATCCTGATCATGTCTCTGCATAGTCCAGACAGGAAACAGCTTCAATATTGTAAGAGTGCTAATTAAAACATCATAAAATCAGACTTTGTCAAATAATTGTGTCTGATAAAAGAAAGAATTGTACCTATGATACCTGGTGTCCAGGAGAACAGTGTAAAAAAGAATATCAGTGCTACAAAGTGATTATAATTACAGGGAATGTGCTAGTAATGAAAAGAAAAATTTAAGAAAATTAAATCTTGGTAAATCTGAGCTTTAGCAGTGCGTGGAGCTGTCATCTTGCACATAGGTGACTGTGTCTCAACAAAGACACATCAGTGACAAACAGCTCCACAGTCTCTAAAATTACATCTACACCTGCCAAGTTATCCTCTGTCCCAGAAGGGAGAGCAACAGCAAATTTGAGCAAAGTCTATCCAAGGCCTTCTACAGGTGAAACTCACAAGGTGTTGGGACAATGAGCTTAACATATGATACAGCAAGAACTCTGCAAGAAGATTTCTGCAAGCTCTTTATTGTGGGCTCCTTTCTGCAGGTTGCCTTTTGTGGGGCTCAAGACTTCAAGAAACCTTCCATTCTGCATGACAGTTACATTTCACTGGTTATAGAATATATAGGTTATAGAATAGTTGATACTCCAAATGATTTAATATTAATGCAAGTTTTTTTGGGGTTTTTTTTTTGGGTATATATTTGCAAGAGAGAAATTGTGCCTTTACAAGGCCCTAGATAAGACTTATTCACAGAATCACAGAATACCCTGAGTTGAAAGAAGCCCCACTAGGACCATTGAAGTCCAACCCCTGCCTCTGCACAGGACACCTCAAGAATCACACCATGTGCTTAAGAGCATTGTCCAAACCCTTCTTGAGCTCTGTCAGGCTGGTGCTGTGACCAGCCTGTTCCAGTGCCCAGCCACCCTGAGTTTTCAGGATTCAATTCAGTTGCCTGAAACTCAGCGTTTAGTCACATTTGAGATACTGAGGGCTTTCCAGACACAGACACAGAGCTGGCAAATCTGACACAGCATCTTCAGAAGACTGACGGCCTTCTGCACCAGATCTAAAACAGTTTAAGACACTTTAAATATCATCATACCCTCAGCTATAGGCTAAGAAACCACACTCAGTGCTTTGTGAAAGCTCAGCCAGTCCAAGCCAAACAAACCTAGTGAGGTAGGATCAGATCCTGAAATGAGGAAATATCAGATTCCTTGGCCTTGAGGGTCTACTGAGCAGAACAGATATTTCATTAAAGGAGAATGGACTGGAATCCATGTCTGACCTGGAAGCCACTTGAGGTGTCTGGAATGAAAGTATACAACTTCATGTGGACAACTGAATCAGCCTAAATTTATGTGAGCTGAGTCCCACTGTGTTTCACCTCTATACTTGTACATCAGTTCTCTGCAAATGCTGCAGACAGAGCACAAAGTGGGGTGGAGCCTGCTTTCACACCACAGCAGATGACGCAGATTCTCAGTAACACTTCTGCTGTAAGGTACATCGCTGGGGAGGCTTTCCTTGCCGTGGTTACCCCCTTAAAAGGAAAAACAGAACCCACATCCTCTTCATTTATGCATATATATTGATAGATTGCTAGACAGAGGTATATTAAAGAGCAAACAAGAGGGAACATCAGACAGAAATCATGGGTGCTTTCCTCCCTTGGTACACCTTCACTGCTGTCATTCTCCTGGCTATTCATGGAGGTAAGTACACAGTTTACTACCTTTGGAGGTAAGTCCTGATGTACAGAATTCTAATTAAGCTAACATGTATTAATGTAAAGGAAGTAATCACAATTGTTATTTGAATTCTTATAATTCAACTGTCAGCATGTGTTTGGTCTTTCACACAAACAAAATAATTTCTGAATGGGTCTTAAGTAAAGCTGCAAAGTCCGAGCTGTTTGGAGGAGCTCTGAGTAGAAAACATAATGATTATCTCATCTTTATTTTCAGAGCCATACACATACCTTAACTGCTTGATTTTCTCTTTTTCTGGAAAACAGATTCACCTAATGTGGCTTATACTACATAGTCCAGTTTCCCTGCACAATATTTAAGATATGGGAAATATGGGGGATTGTTACTCACGATGAAAGCTAATAAATTAACCATATCAGTAATGTCCTAAAAAAGAAATCTGTGCAAAAGCAACAAAACTTTGGTGTGGGGTTTTTGCCCAAGCTCACCCCACTGATCTTGTTTCAGTATTATTGAAATGCAATGAAATAATTCTGCTGAGCAGTTTTAAAATTCTACCCTGAAAACCATCATTGTGATGATATATGTGCATATTTGTGTGTCTGTATCCTTTCTAATTATAACAGCATGTTTTCTAAGAGACTTGGAGTGTCTTACAGTATTTGTCAGCTCAGCTGTGTGTCTTGTGGCTTACTTTTTTAGGTTTGTGTATGGATATCATTGGAGGAAGTGAAGTAGCGCCACACTCAAGACCATTCATGGCCCAAATCAAGGGACGAAGAGGAATTATTTGTGGAGGAGCTTTAATTAAGGAAAACTGGGTGTTAACAGCTGCACACTGTAAAACGTAAGTTCTTACTCTTGATTCAGAGATTGTCCTTAGTGGGTGTCTGATATCTCTGTTCAAGCAGGAGAGTTAGTTTATCTGGTAATTTTATCCATTTATCATGACCATGATCAAGTTCTAATTACTGTGCATTATAGGTTCCATCATCAAATTTGTTATAGTGAGTAAAAAAATACAACAAAGTATACTGATCACATCTGTTTCTGAAGAGATATCTAAAAACTTCAAGCTGCATATTAGCTTAGAATAGCAATACTGAAGCAGTGAATTTGGGGAAAAGTTTTATCCCTGTTTTCTCAGTCAACCTGTGCACTAGATGAGAGGAGTGTCCAGTTTAAACTGCTGCTCTGAGAAAAAAAATTAATTCTTGTAATTTTATTCTATAAGAGATACACAGTTGACTGCAGAAAAGACAGCATGTGGTTAACACAGGGGCAAAAATCCTCCAAACAGATGACAGGAGACACTGAAAGATCTCTGCCTTGCTTGGTATGTTGGCTTGCCAGCCCTCTTTCTTCTCCTGCCCAAATCAAGATGCAAATGGATATTTAGCTCTACTGAGTCCTTTAGCGAGGCAAGAAGTGAGTTTTGAATTACATCCCACCCCTACTTGCTTTTGTGAGGAGGACTGAAGCTGCTACTGAGCCAGACCTCACACAGGCTCTGTCACCAGGACCAGTGAGCCACTGGACTCTGCAGACACCAGAGAAATGTATCCATCTGTCCTGTCCTTGTCCAGACAGGGAGATCTGTGGGACCTACTGTAAAGAGAGCACTGGGCCCAAAAGCTGTGTGTTAACAGAAAGTAAAGAATGTTTCCAAGTGAGATTCTGTTTAAGAGAAAATACAATTAATTATGAACCTAATGATGGCTCAGTCAACAGACAGCTCTCAGTAGATGAAAGAAAGGAGCAACCGCTTTCCAGGGTTGCATTTTCCACAATAAGACATGAATGAGTGCCAATATACACATCTCCTAGAATATTCTCTCATTGAGCTGTGGGATGTGTTGTCTGCCCAAAATCAGCTGTACCTGTGGTCAGGCAGTAATGTCTGCTTGACCTGCTTGGCCAAGGAGTGCCAGGCTGCTGGTCTCTGTCAGAGAGCCACAGCAGGCACAACTCTGACACCACTGGAGGATCTTGGAAGCACAGGAAGTTAAAGAAAAAAGACCTAGAGAAGAGGAATGAGCTGTGTCTCACACAGATTCAGAAAATGGTGTTGAAATATGTTAGAGTAAAGCAATGGTACATTTCAATACAGTCAGGATATCTGAACTAACACTGCTGTGGCCTATTTTCCTAAATTTTCAGAACAAATTACAGAGGACACTGTTGGTGAGAAAAGTGCCCCCAGCAAATCTGGTGCATCCACCAGATTCACCACTCATTCAGTTCCCAAAAAGGAACACTAGGGATGGATACAGCGTCAAGTACGTGAAACTTTTCTGTGCTCCTGGGATGATGAAAATAAGATAGCATGAAGTTTGATTCACTGAGTCATATTTTTCTTTTAGCTATTGTATGAACAGGGTCATCTTTTAGACATTTCCAATTACTGCTCTTTTCAGGCACAGGAAAAGAGACTGTAGCAGCTGGTCATTATAGCACCACATTATTACCCGCAAAAAAATTTAGGGTTACATCAAAGTGAATCCAAATAACTATGTAGTCCTTTCCTCAGGAAAAAAAGCAAAGTTATTCTTGGAGCCCATTCATCAAAAAAAAGAGAAAAAGAACAGCAAGCTTTTCAGATTGCAAAACATATTCCTCATCCATGCTACGACCCAAGTACCAAGGAAAATGACATTATGCTGCTTCAGGTACAGATTTATATATCACTTACGGAATATAACACTACACTGAACTATTTTCTTCCTTCTTCTCATCTAGGGAGATGAGCCAAGGGAGTTTCTGGGGCCTTTTTTTCTGGAGTGATATAGTCTGTTCTGCTAATCCAACAGCTTGGGGAATTGGGGATGCACTGGTAACTAAGGCAATCAACAATTCCTGTAATTGTTGCCACGGCTACTATACACATTCTGGAGCTTGATAAACATTTCAGTTTCTGGCTTTTCCATAAAGGAATAAAACCACATGCAGATAAAACATTTGGTTAAAAGCACTTTTCTGTCTGAAAAGGAGTTCTAATTAAAATGTCTGGGTTTTCTGATCTTCAATTTTGCCAGCATCGTAATTATTGTTATTTTGTCTTCTAAATGGTCTGAGAGCCAGAGAAGTAAAATAAGACGGTTTTTAGAGCTAATAGATCATCAAAGTGGGTTCTCATGAGACAAAGAATACTCATTTTCCCACTCTTACATTGATGACATAACTACTGTCACAAAGAATTGAGGAATCTCAGAAAGGGATTTCATTAATTACCATAATGGGAGAGATCCAATGGTTAATATGCAAGGGCCTCTGTTAGACTCTGTGCCATCATATCTGTTTTCTGTATCTTCTACAGCTTCAGGGAAGAGCAAAACTTAATAAAGCTGTGCAAACAATCCCCCTGCCATCTTCAGATTATGATCCTAAACCAGGAACAGTTTGCACAGTAGCAGGATGGGGTATGACTACAAGTCCTTTGAGAAATCGTCCAGGCAAGCTCCCTTCTGCCCTGATGGAAGTCAATGTCACTGTCATCAGGAGGGAAATATGCAACGATGAAAAGCATTATAATGGCAAACCTGTCATAACAAAGAACATGATATGTGCAGGAGCTGAGAATAAGGATTCATGTCGTGTAAGTATATCTACTATGACTGCATAAATTGTATAATAAAAATAAAATATAATGTACCAGCATTACACATTTACAACCTCTCTCTTAAAATCAGTGAAGAATTTTATCAAATGTCAGTGAATTTACTAAAGCTTGTTCCTCCAATCCTTAAAATCAAAACTTAAGATGTGTAAATTCACCTTCACAGCATTTCAATATTGCAGTTGTGTCCAGGCATGGCAGATAGCCATCTTCATCTTCAATAAAATGAGTTTAATACTAAAATGTCCACAAAACAGCTTATGAGCCCATTTGCAAGTTGATAATCTCAGTGGAACAACTTATTTGATGTCAGAAGACTTTGAAATAGGTTTTGCTGATAAAAAGCATTTTAACTGTATCCCAAGTCAAGTGTATGATTGTGTAAGAATTACCACATTTTAAAAGATTTAAATATTGCATTTAAAAGGATTTTAATTTCTGGAGGCTTACACTTCCCATGAGGAAAGTTTTCAGCTTTTTTTCTTCATTTTCAAAGAGACTGATTCTTCCCTAGCTAGATTCATTCCCCATTACACACACTTGAATGATTAGATTGAATTATATTAAGCCTTTTTTTTCATTTGTTTTGCTGTCCGAAATCCTAATTTCCAAGGAGGAAAAAATGATCCTTAATAACACTGGCTACATTTTTATTTTCTTCATCTAACTAGTGAAAATTTTATTCAAAGGAAACATTTTTTAGCTTTGTTGATTTGAATGACTGTATTTTCCCTTTTTCTAGGGGGACTCTGGTGGACCTTTAAGATGTAATAATATTATGAGAGGCATCACTTCATTTGGGAAGAAGAAATGTGGCAATGCTGATGGCCCTGGTGTCTACACTCGACTCACAAAGCAACACCTTAAGTGGATAAGGAAAACCATAGGGGGGGCCTAGCAGATTGGGTTTGGGCCGCATGGTTTGTGTAAATGAAATGGGCTTTTAAAAACAGCTTCAGTAGTCTGGTAAAAGAGGTATTCTCACACTGAGTTTCAGCAGCTTGATGTAGTTCTGCTACAATGGCATTTATAGCTTACACTGTCAGCCATGGAGTCATTTGGGGGTATTTGGGGCTGAGGATTCCAACAGCCCTGTAGTGCATGTTCTTTCACACTGAGCTCTACACGGACTGGTACTTCAAATCAAGAATCTAATCCTTGTTTGGGTCCTCACTCCTTATTAAGTATATATAGCACTCTTTTGTACCTGGACTTCTGAAAATCAGTGGTGTGCTATGTACAAGTACAGACACCTAAAAACTTTGTTTCTCTGCAGCAAAGCTCTTGGTTTTATAGATGTAGTGGATTGCAAAGCTTCAGAAAATTTAATTGCAGCAATTGTGGGGCATAGGTATTAATTTTCTAACTGTCTTGTATTTGAAACCTCTAGATTTTATCCCTTTACGTACTTTGCATTTAATAAAGCAATGGCAATAAAGATCTGCTGCTTTCAGCTGTCAATTTATGTGGAAAGTGCTGTCTCTTGCAGCATAGATGATCCATGTACTACCTGTAGGATCTGTTAACTATCTGTGTAATGTTCCATACATGTTAAATGTTTGCAAAACATACCAAAATAAGCAGCACTGTATTTAAAAAAATTTCTGAAAGCCCATGCTTCAGAGAAATGACATGACTGTATCAATATGATACATCACTATTGATAATATAAAGCACTCTTAATTTTATGATGCCAGTAGTGCTGCTTCAGACATGCAGTGAAATTTTTAAGGGCTTAAACAAGTATTTGTCAAGCAGCAAATAGACCTCTTGTGAAAAATGTTTCTGCCTGCTTCTGTATTAACAGACGAGCATTTTCAATGCCATGAGTACCTCAAAAAGGGCTTGGATTTATTTTGTGTGGCTTCAAGAGGTTTTTATTTGGAGGTAGACATTAGCTAAGAGAACGCAGGGAACATTCAGTGGTGGAGATATTTTGCTTTGATTTTAATTTTTAAATTATTGCTCCATCCATCCTTAGTAATTAAGCACTACTTACAAACACAAAGAGAAAGCACAAACTAAAACTTTTTTACACAACTGCATTTACCTAATGTCATTAAGAAGAGACAGTAGTTTTCTCACTAGAGAAGAAAGGGTAAAGATAAAGAAGGCCTGAACTACAGGGACCTCTACTGGAAGTTTGGATTATGAAAAACATCTTTTTTCCCTGTGTTACAAACATTACACAGTCAGAACTTTCCATATTCCTATTCTTATTCATAAATTATTTTATTCACTCTTGGTCCAAACATAAAATATGTACAAACAAAGGGACACACAAACACAAAAGCAAAGCAGAAGCAGAGAAAAAGACCTCAGACAAATAAGATTGCATCAGTGAAACTGAGAGGAGAATTTGACCTACTGACTGCTACCAACACCCAAAGCAGTGACTTGATTCTATGTTTAAACACACAGGAAATAAGAAATTTCAGAATTTTTTATTCTTGCCAACTACCAAACTCCTGCTTAGGCAAAAACTAATTCTGAAAACCTTCAGGAAACAAAACTGTCCTTATCAATTTGCAGCTCACCTAGGCCTGTTTCACCCTTCCCATACATTAGTCTTTCTTCATTTCTTTGTTCAGATTTTCACTGCCTTTCTTTCCTCATGCTGTTGCATTATCTCATCATTCTGCTTCCTCTTCGGAAGGATTTTTCTTTCTCCCCAAAAGTCACAAACAGCACCCTTGTCAGTGGAAAATCCCTCTCAAATCCTGTAATTCAAGTATTTCCTAATTTTCCAGATGGTTCTGAGCCAAGTGTTGGATAACCTTAGAGATCTGGAAGGATAGGTTCTGACCAAGGAAAAGTTTTTAATGCATGAAGAAATGTGTTGCAGAAAAATGTGAAAAATGTGCAGCTTTCCTCTTGTAGCCTGAAATTTAGGACCTACCCCAAAATACTTTAAAAATGGTGTTTTTTTCACATGGATGTTTTTAGTGAATTGCACAAAATAAGCCTGTAGAGTTGGACTTACAGGGTAAAAACAAAATTTTACCTTCTGTCACTACTGCCAGTAGCATAAACTTCTAGAAAAGCAAGAGAGAACTGTATTTTCCTCTAGATGGAGAGGTCTCTGCTCAAGAGGCATGATATGAGCCCATTCACCACAGAGTTTCACCACTGTGGAATGGAGCCCACACTAGCTAGGAAAAATGCTATGATAATTTGATGTCCCTGTTTTCTCCTCAGTCTGGCTATATGAGATAATTGGAAGGAAGCAACAGGTATAAACCACATCACAGAAACTCACCTAACGTGTATGTAGGTAGCATCAAGTCAGGTCATGTAGGTGCAGAACTGGGCACATCTCCCCATCTGCTCAGTGCTTTTAAGTGTGGGAACAAATGGGTTCCTCAGTCCTCATACTCCAGATGATTGTTTTGTCATATTGATATACCTGAGAAGAAAGACACTTGTACTGTATGAGCAATGAAGTTATTCTTCAGGCAAAAATTATTTTTGACCTTAAGTTTTGGGTTCTATATGTTGTACAGTGCCCCACCTTGGACAGAACTTTAGGGATGAAGATCTGATTTTAGTCAACTCAAATTTTCTCAAACCTCTGTGCCACCCCTGGAGACTCAGCTTTCAGTGGATACAGACCACAGACAAAGAACAAGTTGAGTTCTTCGAAACGGGTTCTGATTTCTGTCCATCCTGGGCCTGAGCAACATACCAGGTGTGTAACTGACAGTGAGCTAAAAGAATGCCATATTCTGGAGGGAGGAAGTCAGGATTTCACATTTTGACCAAGACTTCATATGTTAAGACCTCTGCACTGGCAGAACGAGGAACATACGCAAGAACGTGGCCAGCTTTCAGCAGCTTCACACTCTGCACATTCAGAAAAAAGCACTAGAGTATGCATTTAATTTCACTTCAAATTACTTACAGTCTGGAATGCACACTTGGATGTCTTCTCAGACATGGTCACATAATGGATCTACAGGTCACACAAACAAGGTCCTCTCATAGTTATGGGCTTTTGAAATCAGTGGCTTTTCCCACTTTTAGATATTGTGCTTAAATACATCTGGGGCAATACAGCTTGACTAGTCAACACTGAGCAGTAAAGTAACTAAGATATGAGAAGTTCTTAGTCTAAGAAACAGCCTTTCTTATTTTGACAATTCAGCATCCAACAAAATGTGCATGGTTGGTATTGGTCAGGTCCTTCCATGCTACAGCCTCCCATCTTGTGTCATGCACCTCCTCCTATACTGGATATAAATGATATAAATATAATTTAGGTGCTGCCAAAGGAAAGAAAGAATTTCTGGGCAAATCAAAAAATGCATGAGCAAAGAGACTAATTCTACTCATTTATTTAACATTCAAAGTGGGGGGAAATGTTTTTTACTATTCCTAAAACCTTTTAAATTATTTAAAATACTATTTGAGTATTTAAATCAGATTCTAATTGTCTGATAAAATCTCTATAAACAAGCTTGCTCATATTAGAAGATAAGCACAGTATAAGCTATTTCCCACATTTGGGCATCAGCTTCTTGGCAGCAATTTCTCAATTGACAACCAGTATTACCATTTTTTGATCTTCTTTGAAGACCACATGAGATGACATGAGAACCCAGTAGCTGAGTAGCAGGTTTATTGCAATCTCTTACTGGCTAAAACACCTGAGGGGTCCCAGTCTTCCAGAGCTAAAGTTAGAGACCACATAACTTGCCAGCAGCAGAAGATGAGGTCTTAAAAATCATGAGAACTAAAGACATGATAGTTTCACATTCATTTACAGACAACTTGTGCCCCTGTCTATTTCTTTTCATGCATTTCACCACAGTGTTATTTTTCACAGACTAGCACTTCTCTAGTCCCCTAATATCCTAATCTTTCCCAGTTTTTAAATTTTTTAAATTTTCAGTTGTGAAAAAAAAGAAAAATAAAAGAAAGGACTCCAAACAATACAAGTTTCAGAGGGCTTTTAATATAAAAATGCAAGAATGAATCCTTATCCCTTGCCTCTGATCATTCCTAACAATGAAAGCAAAGCTCCAAAGGTGTTTGTAGGCAGAACACAATGAATAGCACTACTGATCTGTATCTGAATACCTTCTGAGGCCCTATCTTGCAAGGCAAATACATGTTGAAGTCCAAGGGTTTTATTCCTTGTGAGCACTAAATAAAATTCACAATATGATGACAGCTGCACTATTTGCTGGCAACCAGAATTGAATTGGCACCCTTATGAAATGAACTAACAGTTGTGTTCAGCCCAAATAGCATGCTCCTATGCCCATCTGAATTCTTAATTAACTTATTACATAACTATGCATAATAATAGAATTATTATGCAATTTTTTTGTATTTTTAATCACTGTCAAATATAGTTGGTGGGTTTAAGGAAAGGAAGCAATTAAAAATCTAGTTAAGACATTTTCCCAATTATGTTAATTATCATAACCATTATGAAAACAATAAACAATTCCCAGTAAATAATTTCTATTTAATTACATATTTAAGGTAGAACTCAAGAAGTATTTAGACAGATTCCATAAGACAATTTATGTGATACAAAGAACAAGGCAGACCCCTGAACTGATCTCTGCTCATCATAGTCTTTGAATAATTCAAGGTAATATATATGAATTAGTGTGTGAATTAGTGAATTAGTGAATTATATTATGAATTAGTGTATGAATTATCAGTGGGGATGCTAAGGTAATGTAAAATTTATTTCAAGAATCAAAGATAAAAGCAGGACCTAACACTTTATGCTAGTGCTTTACACAGTTGGATTCCTTCCATGTTTGCTAATATAATTGAAATATACATTACATTATTCTTCAGAGTTAGGATATTTTTCCTTTAGGTTAAGACAAGCTATTAACATTTCACATAATAGACTGATAAGAAAATTTTGTTCTTTTAAATAAATTGTACTGTCCTTTGTCATGTTTTTATTGGAAGGAAGACACATATTTTGAATTATTGAATGGGCTGACTACATTAATCACTGGCTTTCAAGAAAAAAAGTCACAAGAATGAGCTCAAATAACTGTTATTAAAAAGCTTTGTTGCTGTGCATGCTCTCCCCAGACCCATGTTGTTTCCACAGACAAGACATCCCATCCACTGCAACAAAAATGAACTTACTCTGATCTGAGCTCAGGGTTATATGCAAGACTTTCCCTTTGTTACCTATAAAATAAAACATGTACAAAAGAAAAGGAAAGATACATCAGAATTCTACACTGATTATGCCAGTCATTTTCACCACCCACACTATGGCTTGTTTCATTTTACTGCAGCAGAGAAACATGTTGCATAGGATGTGGGAAGCTATCATCCTCTATTCACTGTTTTCATATTAATATGGAGCTAAAGGAAATATATCCTTAATAGGGAGTAGGCTTTACCTGTCTGCACCACTTTGAGGAGACATTTCTGCCAAAGGAACACGTTGAACCTGA